GTTTTCTCAATGAGTTTAAAAGCTAAAAGTATAATATTTGCAGGATATATGTAAAATTCTGAGCTGAATAAGTTTACTTAAGACACCAGGACAGGTTGTCTTAGTAAAATAAATAGTTATAGGCGTTTTTGGACGAATGATTTTTTAGTTACTTTTTTGTGCAATAGATTTGCAGAAAGAGTTCCTCTATATCATATATGTTATGATTTAGTAGTGTATTATTTGGTATAGATACTGGTAGTTTAGCTTTGTGTTTGGCTGTAATAAGGTATTTTGATAATATATAGTTGCATGTTGTATATAGTAATATTATGTTATATATACAATATTCTAAAATAGAAATAATTATAATGTTTATAATATATGCAGTTTGTTTATCTGTAATATTTTTAGTTTTTAATATGTTGTTAAGTCTGAGTGCTTCTTGTTGTATTAATTTTGTTAGAGTTGTATATTGTAAAGCAGCTGTAAACTAGCATCCTAAAAATTTAGAAGGAGTATTTTGTAGTTGTGCTTGGATAGTTTAATTCATAAAATTAATATGAATAGTAGATTTAGTATTTGAAGTTAAGAAGCATTTGTGTATATTAACTTTTATATAGGCTATTGTATAGAAGAATTCAGTGCTTGAGTTATTGCTTAAAGCTCTTTTACTGAGTTTATAAGCCATAGTATATTATCTATATATGCCAGTACTGATATAGAGGTAGTAGTTAATTAATATCTACTAGGATTAATCTAAGTAAGCCATTTAGTTATTGTAGTGTAGTCAGTGTATTTCTTGTATATGTAACTTATTAAAAGATTATAGTAGATTCACCAAAAAAAAGAAGTTATGATTTCACCTTGGTCTATATCATCTTGTATCTTATATAAGGGTGTGAGTCCAAAATTAGTAATAATTTGATTAGATCAGTTGTGTAAAATATTGGTTATTATATTAACTAACATGTCAGGCATATTTAGATGTTGTAGAGCTTTGGTTAAGAGGTGTATGTTTATGGAGTCATATGCTTTGCTCATGTCTTAAAACAAAATCCAGATGTGTTTTTTGGTGCATTTGGCATCTTTAAAAAAGTTATTAAGTATATGGATTGGGTTGTTGGTTGAGTTGCTAGGAAGTGCAACATAGTTATATAGATTAAGAATTTGGTATTAAGTTAAGACTTGTGATAAATAGTTAATAAGAATTTTAGTATATAGTTTCTTTGTATGTTCAATTAGGCTAATAGGTCAAATATTGTTAAGATTTCTATCAAATTCAGTTTTTTTTAAGATAGGGTATATTCTACTAGATTTCTATTGTTTTGAGATATTTTGTATAGTTAAACATCTGTTAAAGAATGCTGTAAGTGCAGATTGCATATTAGAACTAAGATGTTTAATCATTTTATAACTAATTCCAGTAGGCCCACAAGCTTTGTTATTAGGTAATTGTTGTATAGTGTTTATAATTTCTTTAATAGTAATTTCTTGAAATATAAGAATATACCATTCAGTATTAATGCTAGTGTTAGGTTGATATACAGTCTTCCAATTGTGATTAAAGATATTTTCATCAAATAGATGATGGGCTGTTCATGTTTTAAAAGATTCACTAACATGTTGTTTAATCTCTATAAGGTCAGTGATTATAGTATTAGTATATTTAATGTTTTGAAGATATACTATATGTCAGTTTAATATACTGTTAATCATTTTGGTTAGTGAATAAATAATTGTTCACATTATTTGTTTGTAGCTATGTTGATATAGTGATGAAGATGCTTGAAATTTTTAATATTTCTAGTAAAGTGTTTTTCAAAAGGTTTTTGTATACTGTATTCAAGTAACTAGACTGGATTGATAGTTAGGTAGTGATTCAATAGTAAAGTTATGAATACTATTAATGTAATTAATAAAGTTTTAAATATTAGTAAATAATGATATTTGGTATGAAAAAAGTTTTTAACACAGTGTATAATATGTCTAATGGTTTTAAGATTATGATATAATTGGTTTGCTTTTGGTATAAATATATAATAAAAGTTTTTAATTATATATTTTTTATTTGAAATATGTTGAAATGCAGTATTAATGATACTGGTATATATTTTATGCCAAGTTTTTTTAAGGCTTTCTGTTGTATATATTGTAATTAGAATCTGGTATTGTATTATATTCAAGTTTATTTGATCTATAAAATTGTTCCAGTCTTCTTTAAACCTAGCTTTGTAATTAAATATTTATTATTTACTTTTGCTTTTGTATCTGGCTTTGGTTATTGCAAATAGAAATGTTCATGTAGAAATTAGGATTTGGTGATCACTGTTAGTTGAGAATGATAAATTGTTGAGTTTAAATTCATTTAAGTATGTTATAAGAGCATTATAGATCCATATATAGTCTATTCTAGTTTGGTATCAGGTACTATGCCAAGTGTTTTGTAAATTGTTGGTATGGTCTGCTAAGTTATACATGTTTATACTATACAAGTAATTGAGTAGTTGAAATTTAGTTTCTTATAGTGTAGTAGTATTGTTGTCTGTATTAAAGTCTTCAAGTATGATAAAATATAGGTTGGATGATAGTGCTTGTTGTGTTTATATAGTAATAATGTCTTGTATGAGTTTGTGGTTAGCAGTATTAGTAGATTAAAGGTATACTAAAATAATTCTGAATTTATAATTATGTTTAAAGAATAGGTCTATAGTAATAGCACTACCAAGTTGTATAATTATATTGCATATATAAGGCTAAATATTATTTTTAATTATTATACATATTCTTTCTTTAGATTTTTTGAAGTTGGACCAAAAATATAAATAATAAAATATGTTCCAGAACTTGGTTTTTGTATTTTTAAAAATTTTTGTTTCAGTAAGACTAATTATATATAAGTTATAAGTTAAACAGTAATTTTCTTATAACAATCTTTTTTCTTATATATTGTATCCTTGAACATTATGTGTTGCAATATTGAGCTTAAGCAAAATATTATTGCTAAGAAGGTTAAAAAAGAATTTTAGAGATAGTTAATAATATTTATAGTATTAATGATATAATAGTATAGTATAATTAGGAAGTAGGTTATCATTATAATTAATATAAATATAAGTTTTTATATGAGATAAATTAATAGATATTTTAAATAACTTAGTGAAGTTGTAATGTTGTAAATATTAAATAAAAGAGTGTAATGTTTGTGGGTAATGAATGAATAGTATATTGTTATTATATAAGAATAAATTGTATCATGCATTAGAATTAAAGAATTTTGAAGATATTGTAATTAATCTTGATTTATTGTTTTCTATAAGGGTGCTTATAGTTTAAAGCTTAGCTCTCACAGCTGTGAAGAGTTTTATAGTCTGCTCTGTATGTTAAATCTGATTATCATTTTCTTGGTTCTCTATATACAAACTACTTTTCTTATATTATTAGTTACTTTATCTTTAATACTAAATCTTGGCTACTTACTGTTCTCAATAATCAAATAATTATTGATAAGATCTAAAGACATAATTGCCTTACAGATTTTACTCTTATTACTCATTGGTACTACTTATTTCAGTCTCAGTTTTCTAACCTTAACTTTAATCTCTTTTCTATTACTATAATATGCTCTAAATGCTATATTAATTTTAATTTAATTAACAACGAATAAACTATTTTTATTTTTATAAACTTGGCTACTAAACTATTTTATTATATTAATCTTGATAAAACTCTTAATTTACATGCCAACTTTTTTGATATTATATACTTTATAGTTATATGACACCTTTTACATATTACATCTTCTTTTTTATTAATAATTAACTTACAACAACTGCTTTGTAAGTTTTAATCAAGACAATTTACTAATAGTTTATAGTTTATTTTTAATTTTAATTACAATTTACCTACTATTTCATTCTATACTAATGGTTCTGTTATTAATCTTGATACTTCCTAATGCTTTATAGATATAGGTTGGGTTCAAGTAGATAACTCTGCAACTTTTTACTTATTTTAGATACAAGTTAAACTCTAATCATACTTTTTTAAAACTGAAGTTCTTACTATTCTCTTAACAATTATTTCTGCTTTTGAAAACTGTTTTGTTCATATCTTTACTGACTTACAATCAGTAATCTCTAAATACCATAGTATTTATCTATCAATATCTAAATTCTTTTATATTTATATTCTATACTTCTCTATTTGGCATATTTCTATTAACTTTATTAACTCATATAATATTCAGCTTACTTTTTACAAAGTTACTTATATTAAGATAACCTATTCAATAATCTCACTGATCAACTTGCTTACAATTACCAAATACTGCTCTTTTTAATATTTTTAATTAATAACTCTTATAATCTTATCTAAACTAGATGTGCCTAATTCAGTGCAGCTAATTTTTGTTAATAGCAAACTTTTATAAAATCATCAATAAGTATCAAGTTTTTTACTAAATATACTACAATATACTTCAAAAATAACATTTTATTTAAAAAAAAAAATAATTAAACTAAAAAAAGTTAAATCTTATTTTATTTAAGAAATCCTTTTGAAAATCTTGATTATCAAAAGATCATCCTAAATCAGCACACTAAAGTAATTTTAAATTTTTTTTTATCTTGATAGTTTAGCATTCTTAAGATATTGCTTTTTCTTATTAATCTGTTTCTTTTCAAGTTTTTTTTTGTTTTTGTGCATCTTGTTTTTGCACTTTCTCTGTCTTATGTGCTATTTGTCTTTGGGTAGCCACTTTTTTTCGATGTTACTTTTCTTGGGCTTTTTTTTCTGGCTTTCTCTCTGCTTCTCTCAACTGCTGCAGGGACTTTTTGTTTATAAGAAGCTAGGAAAAAGGCATATTTTTTCTTTTTTTCTGTCTAGGCAATTGAGATTTATTTTGTTTACCTTTTAGATCTTTAGCTAGTTGTTGGTTACAATACTTAAGGATTAGATGCAAAGGGCTTAAACCAGAATTTTTGTATGTTTCAAGTTCTTCTTGTAAGAGCACAATTTTTTTATTTAGAAATTCAATCTTTGGAATCAACTCCTTTTTTGTAGAATTTGTTTTAATAAGGCAAGCATGATTTGGAGCTGACTTTGAAGGCAAGAACAAAAAAGGCAAAGAAGAAGAAGACAAGAACAAAGAAGGCAAGGATAAAGAAGTCAAAGATAAAGGAGGTGAGGATAATAAAAGTAAAGATGAAGAAGGTGAAGATAAAGAAGGTAAAGACAAAGGAGGTGAAGATAAAGAGCAAGTTGGTTGTTCAAGAATTTGTAAAAGATCAGTTTGTTCTATAGTCAATGAAGGGTCAAGATGATCTGGACTAATAGCATTTAGATTAAATAGCCATATATCCATAGTTTTAAAAGCATTGCATATTGTAGTAGGTGTGTAGGTTGTGATATAAACTGATTCTAGAACTTCAGCAAATGTGTATTTAGTCACAAGCTTACTATCATTTTTAATTCGAAACTTATCACATTTTTTATCAAACAATTTTTTTAGAGTAGCATATAGTAATTCAGCTGGCTGTAAAATGTAAGTTGTATATGGGAAAAGCATATAAAGAAGTATGTTGTTTTCAGAACAAAAATTGATACTAGTATAATTAACATAGCTCTTATGACCATCTAGAATCAACAACACTGAATGCATAAGGGAAATAGAATTAAAAAAATGTTTGATATATTTCTGAAATAGGCACTCCCACATATATCTTGACTCAGTAAACCCTATAACAGAGCCAGCAGGAGTGTTATTTAAAAGATCTGGAATCATTCTTTTTTCTTTAAAAATAAGCAATAGAAGAATATATATTTTAGCAGCTAAAATAGTTGGACATACAAAAATATGTTCATGTAAGCTGCTATATAAAACCTGATAACTTGACATGCTTCTTTCTTGGCTAGAATCTTTTGAAGCCTAAGTTCAATAATAAAACCTGTCTCATCCTAAAAAAGAAAAAAAATAAAATAAAAAAGAAAAAATAAAAAAAAAATAAAAAAAAATAAATATAAAAATAAATGCACCATGTTCAAAATGTGGTTAGAGGTAAGTGAGTATTTGTGAATAATCTTTTGAAGCTTGTCAAAATAATTCTTAATAATAATAAGATTGGCTTTTTGTGCACAAGCTTTATTTAAAGCTTGTGAAACACAAAATGAAAGTTCTAGATAGTTCTTCATAAAGTACTGCCACCATTTTTGACCTGGTCTACTTTTGTTAAAAAAATAAGGTCACCTATCTTGACTGACAATATTATCACATACTGGTTTAAACCAGATCTTGTTAACCCAAAGCCAAGTTTTTACATATTAAGACAGTAACCAACAAGCTGTTTCTATTCATAGTTTGTTAAAACCTTAATACAATCTGAGTGAATATGACTATCATTTTTAATGGCATATCTAAGAGTGGTTTTTAGAATACCATAATCTCATGCAATACTTTTTGTACTTGGGGCTTTAGAGTTGTTTGAAGAACTTTTAATTGCCTTAAGAGCATTAGCAATAGCATTGTGTCTGGTTTTTTTTTTAATTAAAAAAAATTTTTTTTAAATATACAGCAATTTGTTCCTTGTTACATAGCAGTACTAATATTCTTTATTATGTGTAGTTTATTATATTACATATAACAATACACTTAAATTACTATGATATTACATAAATATTTAAGGAGGACTAATAAGTTAACTATTTAAACAATGCAATTTTTTATTTGCATAAATGGTGTTTAATAAACTAAACTTTTAAGTTTTTGTGCATGTTATGTTTTGTACAAATACTACTGAAATTAAAATGCAAAAGATTCAATTTTAATGAAAATCATGACCAAATAGGATGAGGAATCATGACTAAATAGTATTTTGAAAGGTGACTTAAATTGGAACTGTATTTACCAGGTTGCACTTTTTTCTTGCTAGACCTTTATATATTAGGAAATTTTATATATCTGATATTGATTAAATGATATTATCTTAGGATTTACTAATTGTAATTACATGATTTTGGTACTACTCAATTTATCTCATCGAGATGAATTAAATGGTGCCAAAATAATCCGATTACAATCAGTAAATCTTGAGATATCATAAGTGTACTAAATTAGGCACCATACCAAATTAGGCATATCTACCTTATACATTATTTATTGATTAACTTTTTATTGAAATTCCTATTTAATACTCTATTTATATTATTTGTCAAGCTTACATTATATTATTTTGAATATCTCAATATTGCTTTCAACAATGGTCTGCTATAGCATTTGATATTAACTAGAAAGTCACTTGACTTTATATTAATAACAATTAAAAAAATTTTAATTTTGCTTATAACTTTTATTTCTCTAGTTTTAAAATTTTTTATATTAAAATTTTTCTGAATAAACTATATATTTTTTATACTCTTTATAAATATAACTTCTTATACTCTTTTTTTTATTATCAATATAGTTAAACTAGTTCCTTACTACACTGAGTTACTTGCCCTTTTATTCAAATTATTCATTATCTAGTCTCTAATTCTCTTAATTATATTTTAAATACAACTGCTCTTAACATGTCTACTAACTTTGTCTCTAACTTGAATAAAGAAATTCTTACATTTAATAGTTTTAAACTGCTCAACTATTCATATATATTATCTCTTACTTCTATTTTATCTGATTTAGTTTTTATTAATTTTATTTTAACTATACTATTTATAATACTTCTATTCTTTATTGTACTGTTACATTTCTTTCTATTAAATTTTTCTTTATTTAAACCAATAAATATACAAACAAAAATAAATCTTATACTTTATTTCATGTTCTGTACAGTTTCAAATCAAACCTTTCATTAATTTAATTTATAGTTCTTTTTCTAGTTTACCTTTATCTCTTATTTCAATACTACAAATTATTACTAAAATTGATCTTTAGAATTTAATGAATTAAATATTATATTCTTCTTTCTTATATTATTACTAATACTCAAATCTTGATAAGTCTTGGTCATTCTTGTAGGTTTAGATTACAGATTATATGTCTGAGTTTTATTTATTATATATAATTTAAAAACAAGGTTTTCTTTATAAAAACTTTAATTGAATTTTAATCAAGTTAAAAACATGTTCTCATTGTTAATATTTAAAAAAATAATAGTTTAAATAATATTAATATAGATAATAAAGATTTTAAAATTAGTAATTTAACTCTGACTATGCTTTTTCAAAGCTGAAATTCTTGTTATTCTCTTAGTAATCATTACTGCTTTTAGAAACTATTTTGTTCATATCTTTATTGATTCACAATCTATAATCTTCAAATATTACAGTATTTGCTTATTAATATCTAAACTCTCCTATATCTATACTTCATACTTCTCTATTTGGCAAACTCTTGTCAACTTCATTAATTCATACAATATTTAGCTTACTTTTTACCAAGTTATTGCATATTAAGATGATTTATTTAATAATCTTGCTGACTAACTTGCTCATAGTTACCAAATACTACTGTTTTTAATATTCTTAATTAACAACTCCTACATCTTACCTATATCCTATTTATTGACTAATTTCTTATTAAAATTCCTATTTGATACTCTATTTGTATTATTTGTTAAGCTCATATTATAATATTTTGGACATTTTAATATTATTTTTAATAATGGTCTACTATTGTATCTAATATCAACTAGAAAGCTACTTGGCTTTATATTAATAATAATTAAATTTTCTAACTTTGCTTACAACTTTCATTTCTCTATTTTAAAAATCTTTTGTATTAAATTTCTCTTATATGAACTGTTTGTTCCTTATACTCTTCACAAATATAACTTCTTTTACTCTTCTTTTTGCTATCAATACAATCAAATTAGTTTTTTATTACATAAACTCTTTGTTCTTCTATTTAAACAATCTACTACTTAATCTCTAATTCTCTTAATTGCATTTTAAATGCAAATGTTCTTGACATATTTACTAATCTTATTTCTAATTTACATTAAGAAATTCTTATACTTAACAGCTTTAAACTACATAACTTTTCATTATATTATCTCTTATTTTTACTTTATATAATTTAATTCCTATTGACCTTATTTCTACTATTTATAATACTTCTATTTCTTATCATACAACTACTTCTTTTTCTATTAAATTTCTTCTTCATTTAAATCAACAAATATATAAACAAATATGAATTCTATATTATATTTCACATTCTGCATAGTCTTAAATTACAACTTTCATAAACTTAACTTACAGTTATCCTTTTAGTCTACTTTTATCCCCTATCTTAATATTATAAATTATTATCAAAATTAATCTTTGGACTATCTAATAGATTAAATATCATACTCCTCTCTCTTAAATTATTACTAACATCCAAATCTAGGTAAGCCTTAACTACTCTTGTAGGTTTAGGTTACAGATTATATGTCTGAGTCTTTATTCTTCATATGTAATTTAAAAGCAAGCTTTTCTTTGTAAAAACTTCAATTGAATTTCAATAAAATTAAAGACATAACCTCATTGTTAATATTTTTAAAAAAACTAATAATTTAAAAGAATAAAGTTTTGATATATCTATGAATGAACTTTTTGAAAATAATAGATTTTTTTAGAAAAATATTTTGTTAAAAAAAATAATAAATATTAAAATAGATTAAATATAAATTATTTGATTTTTTATAAAATAAAATATAAGATTACTAAAATTATTTTAGTAATGATTAATTACATTTATAAATAGCAAATTTTAAGTAAAAATTTATGTATTTTGACAAATTTGATATGAATTATCTTTATTTATAACAAAGCAAATAATAAAGATATAAATTTTAAAAAAATTATATTTTCTATCTTGTGGTATCATGCGCATTTTATGTATCATACGCATGTTATTTTAAAATGCGCATTTTTCCCATCTCTGACTCTGGTTCTTGTGAATCTTAAATTTTTGTAACTCTGGCTAAAATTTGTAAATTATGTAGTCAGTTTTGAAGTCAATAATTCAAACCAGACTAGACCGGACCGGATTAGTTCAGAATTAGTCTACAACCAGTCTAATTATCTTGTGATATCAGAATATTTTATTCTATCAAATGTTTTGACGATTAACAATTAAGTTCGGTGTTCTATATACATTTTTATATATATTAAACCGCTAGGCTAAATTAGTATCAGGCCGGAGTTAGAAACTAGTTCCTAACAGGATTATGAACTAGAAAAATCACTGTTTGAAAACAAGTGCCAAACAATGATTTACCTAGCAAATGACCAACTAGTTTAGGGCTAGACTTTTAGAGGACCAGATTAGGACAGGCTGGTTCTTACCTTATGAATTATTTCTATAATCATGTACATAACCAAAAAAGCATCAATGTTCAAATTAGATAACTCTGCAGGTTCATTGTATTTGAAGATAATTATAGGCTAATTATTTAAATACTAGTTCTACAAAAAGATTTATTGTCCGAAGCGTAGCGAGGACGCTCAATTTCTATGCAAAGTGATACAAAAATTACGTTTTTGATGCATCAAAAGTATCATAATTGATGCATTGATAATAAAAATATCAAAAACGTAACTTTGAATTTTCCGCTGTCTCCACTTAGATCTCATGTGATTTCGCTCCAGACTTATAACGGTTCCCGTTTCTCTAGTGTATTGCAAAGATTCTATATTTACTTTAAATAATTTTTTAAAATTCACAGGTAGTATTCAATTCATTTCAAAGCATTACTTGAATGTGTGCTAGGTTTGTGACGAAACAAAAAAAAATTTTATTAGAGCACTAAAAGAAATTTCTTATGTAAAATTTCGAGAAATAAGCGATTTTAGACAACACGGTCGTTTGTTTTGAATTTTCTTGATCATGTTACGTTGCGCCTGATTTTGAAATCTGGTCCGTAGTTCAATAAATCTGCGCCACAAACCTAGCAACATTTCAAATTCATATGATATAGAAGGGATATGATTATTAGCGCTACGGGATTGACGTCAAAAAGTTTCAATTAGACTGTATCAATATTCTTTTATAAAATCTAGCATATTATCTAAATAATTACAACTTATTTAAAATTTTTATATAAGGTGCTTCAAGTTACAAGTTACTTCGCATCAAATGCGCCAAATTTGAGGTAAATACAAACAATTTTTAGCTAATAAGAATGCATTATATACTAATTCTTATTGGATAAAAAAAAAATTTTATTAAATGCCAAAATTTTAAAAACATAGCTTTAAACATTTATAACTTTAAATCTTAAAATTTTTTTTTACAAATTCTAACCGATAATTTGGATAGAACTAATGAAAAAATATCGGTTACATTTTTTAAAAAAACACTAAAACTTAAGACTTTATAGATTTTTTTTAAAAAATACATGATGTTTGATGAGAAGTGACTTGGATCACCATAAGAAAAACACACTATTGCTATATTCTGCGAAAAAATGCACCTCTGAAATCTAATCATAAATTACAGGGATCAAATGGGCTGCCGTTGGTGAAATGAATGAAATGTCGTTTCAACGAAATGAGCGTCGGTGAAGTAATATGGATCCATAAATTTCGATTAATATTTCAGGCAAAGCATGTGTTATATAAATTTTTATTATGAAAAAATTGTTAATTTTATAATTATCAGAGCAACCCTAAATTTGATGCCATCTTTTAATGGTTACATTCACAATACCTTTTTATCTATATGAGCTATAAGCGACAAATTTATTTGTACTAGAAATTATGCATTCTTGCATATTTGAAATATTTCATAATCATCTATTGAAATCCATTTATTCGCAGCATTTCTTATGGATGGTTGGTAAGTATTGTCATCACTGCGATACGTCCATTGTTTAAAAGCATAAGATTTACAAAATCCAAAATAATAAAACCATGGACCTTTATCTTGACCATAGTGAATTGCAGTTGACCGATCTTCTACACGACTAAGAATAGATTCTTTCATATTTCCATTTTTTAAAGAAAAAATAAAGCTGTTAGGTTCCGATGTAGATCCTTTTTCAGATTTCCAGCCAAGAGGATTATATCCACCAAGTATTTCATTTGAATTTTCAACCTTTGCAACAACTACTACACAAGGTATATCATCACATAATTTATGAAATGTATTAACATCGAATCCATCCCTACTACCTCTAAGTAGCAGCTTAAACTCGTATGGAATTTCTGTAACGTCATAGGTTGTTGAACGTCGATCAATCCAGGAAGAAATTTCTGCAGCATGCTCTAAAGTGATTATGGAAGAAGATACTGATTTTCGAAGAGGAAGTTGAGTTGTCAATTTTTTGCGAGGAGGCAATATTGTAGAAGCAATAGGCTTATTGGGAGATACAAATTTTTGAATAATATCCTTCCATAAATCCTTTTCAAGAATTTTTTTATAAGGTTGTAATTTTTCTAAAACTTCATCACCAGGAATTTGGAAATACCTAATATGAGGTAAACAATTTTGAAGAGTAATTTTTAAAGATTTAAAATCCTCCTTATTCCATTGCTCAATATTAGAAGGTAAATTTGGAGTTCGTGCTTTTCCCCATAAAATAACTTTATCCCAAATCTTAGATTCATCCAATTGTAAATCGTCGTGTTTTAGGAGAGAAATCAAAGCGTCCACTTGAAGAGTCGTAAATTCTTCCGAGTCAAAAATTAGATTTGGGTGTTTTATAACAATATCATTACAAAATTGTTCTAGAGCTTTGAAATTTTTATTTTGAAAACTAATCTGATAAATGCGAGAAAAATTCAGACGAAGCCAAGAAGCGTTATCTTCAATAAGACGAGTTTGAAGACAATCAATTGATTCTAAAATGTTAAATTCATTGAAGGCAATTAAGAGATCAAATAAACCAGGAGCTTCAAGACTTTCTGTCGAGAATATACCACCATAAATATATCTAAGAAATTTAAACAATTTATTTATAATCAAGTTTTTATAAATTATATAAGCAAATAACTTACTTAGTAATAATATTAAATGTTTCGACAGAAACATTAGGTACTTTAATACTAATAATTTTATCTTTTTTAATAGTATTTTTCAATTTCTGTTGAAAGTAAGAAGAGCGGTGGTATAAGATTGCTGAATGTGCTTTGAAAAGTTGAGTATTCGGCTGTTCACCAACTTCAATAATTGTGTCATAATTATATTCGCTTTCAAAAAGTTTGGTAAATTCTTGTGAAAGTTTTTCATATAATTTTGTAGACATTTGGAAATCTTATGTACACAACAGTTAGAGATGGGAACAATAATAACATGTGAATGATATCTTATGATATAATTTTTAGATTTTCGGAAAATATTTATATCGGCGTCCCGACACTCATGTCTTTCGGAATTTTTGGGACCAGCTGCATTTTTATTTCTTAATTCCGTTCGGCATTATGCAAACTGGCCTAAATTATATATCAAATCTAAAAAACCATTTAATTGGTTATCACACTTTGCATTTCATTTTAAATTTGTCGATATAAGTATAGTAAATATTTATCTATTGAATGCGTCATATAATATCGGATAGATAATTTTCACTTTTGTAGGCTTTAAATTTATTTTGAATGATTCTTAAGGGAGAAATCGCATTCTTTAATTTATTATTCACGAATGAAACATCTCTTATTCAAAATTTGACAACTTGATAAAATGGGTTCATCAATGACAAATCTTCATTCACCACGCATAATTCGTCTTAAAACCGGAGATCGACATAATAATGGGATTTATGTGTATTAAATTCTTGAAATTTTTTTAATAAATATTTAAATAAATGGTTTTTTATTACTCTTTATTATTGCTCGAACATACTTTATTGAGTAAATAACGGGAATATACATATGGGATTAAGGCTCGCTACTACATACAAAAGCATTCGAAATACAGTATTTTCCTTAGTTCATAAAGGGAATGATCAATAGAATGAACATAGCATAGAAAGAGAATCGAAAAAAATAAATAGCATGTTTAGGTCTTTGTTAATTTTTCTTAGGGTTATAGGAGCTCTGTGGTCATTGCACTAAAACTTAGTCGTTGAGCCACTTGAGAGATTCATGCAGTCTTTGCATCAACGATCATCGAGCTGCGTAATTAATTTATTGATAGGGAGGGTATGGGAGGGTCGAAAGAGCCAGCCTAGTACTATAAGGCGGGCAATAGCGAAACCAAAACTAACGATCCTAACATTCGCTCATAATTTTAAATACCTACCGCAACAATCAGGTATTGACTTAACCTTTACCCGCTTATACATATAGACTGCACATGGAAGAATTCATCCTTCACATGCAAGTTCGTGAAAACTTCTCATAGCTTACCCCCTTTCATATGCGTTGTACTTCAATTAAAAACTTTCCATTTTAACTAAACTCATTAGACGCGCTCCTACCCTGTATCACTGGCCATAAAAGGATACATTTTTCGGTCCTGCACATGACATGAGATCTTCTGATCTCGCAATAATGCTAGACATGTCGCTTCGTTGACAAGCTAGACAGTAAAGATTAATTTTTCTTCATAATATAGGGGCAGAACACACATATATATATAAGTTTCGATTAGCATTTCTGATAAGCACATATTATATAATTTATTATGAATAACTAGATAATTTTATAATTATTTAAAGAACTGGCATACTTTCAATGGCTTTCATTAACCTAGTTTATTTTATTAAAATATGATGTATCAGAAGCGATGATACGAGCTATAATGATTTATTCAATTTTTTTTTCATTCATTACGACTTCTATTAAAGATGAATTACAACCTCTAACCCATATTATTGTTAAGTTGAACAATATTGCTCACACGTATTTGATCTAAATCACATTTATTAACGTTAAACAAAATAACAAAATCTGTATTCTTTAATAATGAAATATTATGTTTCAAAAAAGTATTTTAAAGCGTGTAAGTAAATTGCCTAGGCACTGACTCAAACAAGCCAATTAAATGAACGTCAAACTATAAGTTGCTAGTAGAAGTTAACCTTATTTAGAATTAAATAAAACTATTCTGAGATCATTTAAATGAAATTTTAGTTAAATATAATGCGAAAACAATGGCTGCCCGATACGATAGTATCAGAGCAGCGTTTTGTCTCGAATCGATCACGGGTTTATTAGGTATACAATCCATTGTTATGATCGATTGACGTATAGTTAATTGATTTATTGATTGATTGATTATTGTTTATTGCGTAATTGGTTTTATCAAGCTATCGTATGACTTATATGACGTTAGTGATGTAATGACGTGATTATTTTTTTTTTTGATTAGTAATATTTAAGGGGAACGGGTTTTCCCTAGATAGAGTAGTTTCTGTTTTTCTGCTAACCCGGTTTTTTCGCCCGCCCTACCCATCCCACGTAGGTATTGCAGCTGCATAAAATTGTGTTCTGATGGCCAGTAGTGACGATAGTTAAGATGATCTGTCATGATGACAGTCACTCAAATATTGTGTGAAATAGAAGTGGCCTGCTGGGACGGTAGTCATGAAGATAGTCATAATTGTTAGTTTTTGTACTCGGCATGGTATAAAATTATTTAAATAGGGTTAGATATTAGCATGGGAAGATAATCTTGTCAAAGCAATCGATATCTTGAGTTCTGCACTGTGAGTTTGTATAGCAGGAAGCGTATGGGACAGAATACCCATAATTGTATTTCGTAGTTTTTTCTTTGATAACACCCCTCGATGCGGGACAAAATAATAACTATTTCTTATTTCCGTCCAGCATTATGCAATATGGCCTAAATTATATATACTTTAATTTTCATATATAAAATTTAGATGGGATAAAATGTGCATTATTGAGGAATCACGCGCAAGCATGAAACCATCTCTAAGCGTATTTCGGAAATAAGCGAGTTTATTTGTATAACAAATTTGAAATCGGAAAATGGAATGGGTGTGTATAGAGACTCCTATTTAACAAATAAATAAACTTCTCAATGACCAAAATCATAATTTCAAATTTATCGGAAAATGAAATAAGGTTTATACATCGCTCATTTGAAATAAATATGTTATCTATTTGTGTAAAATTACGTTAATTCGGAAACCCCTCAATACAGAAACTTTTCTTGTACGTATTATTTTAAGATCTTTGCACATACCGCACACAATTCTGACATTGTCATTAGTGTGAATTTTAGATCTTTGAAACCAAGACCTTGTTGAATATAAATACAAAATATAAAGGTTAAGACTATAATAAATAAAAAGTTGTTATTTTTACGAAGCCCTAAAGGTTAATATTGTATTAAATTAATCAACCAATCAGCATGAGTTTTGCAACAATTACATTTTTTGTGATCGGACCCAAAACAAACGTTCGTTTTGCCACAAATCACTCATTACCCATAGATCAGTATAAGAAACCAACTTTTTGCCTCATAACAGAAAGTTTTCGTTGGACAATTTTACTAATAAATCACTCTACTCTAACTCTTAACCCTGACCCTAACCTAAACTTAACGAATTTTATGAATTTTGTCTGGCCACCAACCTGGTACACATTTTCAATTGCATTATTTTTAGGGGATACTGTAGGCAGTGGCAAACGGTACTAACCGCAGCAAAATAGTGTATTCTTAGTTTCTTATTGGTTTGTTTTATATTAGTGATTGAATTTACACAATTCTAGGAGTATCTATCGTCGGCCAAAACTAATGCAATGATGGTTGTTATCTTTAATAAAATCAAAATTCTCGCATAAAGCGCTATTAAATAACAGTCTAGATATTCATCTCATAATTGTACAGAAAATAACGAATAAAAATTGGTCACATAATTTGATATTGATTTCGGAAAATTTGAGAAAAAAACCATATATAGCCATGACTCATTAGAAAATGTAGGCAGCTGTTAAAGATTGTACTTACTTTAATTTGATGTTTTGGGAATTTTCGAATACTAGTTAATATAAACTGAATCAGCTCGACTCATCATGAATCATATTAATTAGTCAATTTACGAAGGTATGATAATTTTTAACAACTAAATTGAATAATTACAGTTGGTAAGCAGGATTGTAAATAATAACGAATTAGAAATATAATAATAATGAATTAGTTTATTGTAACAAATGAGTCATGATTACACAACGATCATCTGTGAAAGCTATTAATAGTATATTCCGTAGAACATTCCACTAATATAAAAGTTTTTTACCGATCAAATAATGATGCAATATTTAATGTACAATGAGGCTAAGCACAGTATTTTCTTAAATGCATTCTCAAATTTTGGCCTAGATATATGTATGCACAATGTCAAAGTTTGGTCCATATGAGATATATTTAGGGAGGCCTGATTGCATACGTACCAGTAATCCTAGAATGAATTAGCACTACTAGTTTCATTTATGTACGTGCTATTATTGCTAGGTAAATAGAAACCATTTAAGGTCCAAAGGACTTAAATTTTGCTTTTTATAGTTGATCACGGATCAGTCTGACAATAGGTATGTTCGGAGCAAATGTTTGTTTTTATCAGATCAACCAATCAAACCTCTTAATTTGCGGACACACACACAAACCAGGTGTCACTATGACTCTCCCGTAATGTCCTTCGGACAAATGAGTTGCCGAGTCAGAATCAGTAATAGTAAGTTACCGATTTCGGCCAAAGCCGGAAACCTTCCAATTTTAGTTACGTTGTTAGCTTAGTGTTGTAGTGGAGTAAGTTATAAGGGAAGCATGGATTCAGGTCATGGCCACACTTTATGTACATTTATTTAGGGTTGAGATGAGATTCAAGTCACCTGCATTCACTTCTGCTTTAACATCAGGGAACTAGCATTTATATACATATACTGAGTGTTGACTATCAACTATCCTATAGAGCTAATAACTAATTCTAGAGATTAATATTTAATACATATTAATATCTATATCGGGAAACCTACACATCCCAACATTCCCAAAATGTACAAGGCCAACTTACACTAATACTAAGTTTACAAATCAACCGTAACAATATCATTAACAATTTTTTCAAATTTTCGGAGATGGTTTATTAATTCTGGATCGGATAGATCTTTGGTTCATTTGAAATTTTATATAAAATCTAGCGTTTCTAAGATCAAATTTCTTAAATTAAATATATTTGGTAGAATACATATATAAAATCATGTCGTTAATAACATTAAAAATTTTAAATTCTATCTCATTTTCAGACATCTATATCTTCTTTTTCATCTCACTCGTATTTTACATTCTTCGCTTTTATTACATTTATTATACTCGTCCAAATAAGTTGCCAGGTCCTGTTCCATTACCATTTATAGGATCAAATTATCATGTTTTTAAAATAAATGGCAGTGTCGTAGGATTAGATGATATGCTTCGTTCACTCCACTCACAATATGGTGATATATTTGAAATGTGGTTTGGTAGTGAACGTATCATTATTTTATGTCATCCAAAATATATGGTTAAAATGCATCAAGCATCTACTAAAAGTAAATATATGAAAAGATTTTCAAACTCTGAAGGTAAAGAATATGGTTTAGTTGATAGTGGAGTTTTTAATAATAATGATGTTCACGGTTCTTGGAAGTTTAACAGAACGGTTTTCAGTAATGCATTAATGCGTCCCAAATTAGATAGGGACGCATTACAATGGACCATAGAATTGGTTGAGGAAATGGAATCATGTTGGAGTAGAGTTGGCATTATAATTGATGAGAATGACTTTAACAAAACATCAATTAAAAATAATGAAATTATTAATCTTCCAAAATGGATGCGTAGATTCACATATGATATGATTTATAAAATAGCAATCGGGATTAAGGGAAATGCACTCAACTCATATACTAATAACTTATGTGATGTTGAGAATCAAGAAACTGAATCAAATAGTATCATAAATAGTATTCAAACTTATGTTGAAGGAACTCCGTATTTTCGTCTATTTCCAAAATACGTTCGTTATTATTTTCCATATATAAGAGGGATTATTCGAAGATATTTAGATAATAAAGAATACTTATTTGGAAAATTAGCAGAAATGATTGAAAGGCGTCGACGAGAGATTAATGAAACTCCATTAAATGAAGAATTGAGGAATGATATGTTAACTTCTTTTATTATTGCAAATACTGATAGAGATATGCATAAAGAAAAATATGTAGAAAAATACGATGATGTTGTAATCAGACCTGCGAACAATGATGAAATTTGTGGAAATTTAATCGATGCATTTATTGGGGGAACTGATACTGTAAGTTCTTTTTTCTCATTATTAATTTATCATTATTACAATTATTTATGGCTGTATATGATTTTTATAACTTTTTAATTTTGAATGTTGAAAAAAAATTTTTTTTTTATTCTTTCACCTTAATAGACCGCAAATTTATTCTGCTTTATAGTTTACTACCTCGCACATCACCCACATGTTCTCACCCGTTTCCGTCAAGAACTTGATTCAATATTCCAAGATGATATGACACGAAAAATTACACTTAAAGACTTAGATAATCTTAAATATTGTGAATCTATAATTAAAGAAGTAACTCGATTACAACCTGTAATTTCCACAAATGTACGTTTAAGCTCTGAAGAAGACGAAGTTTGTGGATATATTTGGCCTCCTAATACTGAATTTATGTTATTTTATGGAGCCATAGCTAAACGTCCTGATGCATGGAATGAACCACTAAAATTCAATCCTGATAGATTTTATAATTATCTGACTAATGATAAAATTAATGGTAACAACGGACACGATGATTTAGAAATTAATAAAAATATAGGTGAAAAATCTGACCATGGTGATGATGATATTAAAAATTCATTTGTGATGTTTGGAGGTGGGTTGCGTATATGTCCAGGAAGAAAATTAGCAATGATTGAATTAAAATGTTTAGTAACTATGATTTATAGAAAGTATGATGTTGAATTAGTTGATATGAATTCTCCGCTTAAAACGAAATCTACCATCTTTACAACGTGTGAAGAGTTATTGTTTAGATTAAAATTAAGAAATTAATTTACTTAGTTATTTTATTATTTATTATTATTTTTTTTGTGTAATGTAGATTTATATTTTTAGAATTTTGTATTATCGATATGAACAAATAAATTATATTGCACTATTAAAAACTGTTACTCGAAGCTTTTTTATTGTATGGATTTACAGTAATAAGCATCACAATAAGATATATTGTAATCCTTTTAGGCAAAACAATCGATTATATTAAGAATATTAGCGCCTACAGATCACTCTCATTATAGTGAACGATGTAGTGAAGATTAATTAAAATTCCGGTTAAATAATTTTCTCGACATAGTGGATTTTAAAAAAGGTTTATTATTAGAACAGATCGTTCCACTATAACGAGGGTGACTTGTGTTTGATTATTATAAGATTTAGGTGCTTCTGATCTTTTTTTTCTCTATTAGAATTGATGTTATTACTTCCAAGATCCAAAGAAAAGGATTTTTGCCAATAGCTGTACTAATCATATGCCGAAGTCACAAGGCGGCAATTTATCGTGAGCACGTGGTACAGGGATCGGCACTGGATATGATGTAACTGCAGATCCTAAGTATAAATAGGTTTTAGCTATTTGTGTTTCTGCTCGATTGTCCTTCGAAAAAAAAGAGAAAAGAGGGTGAAAAAGAAAGGAAACAGAGAGAGCCGAATGGAGAGCTGTTTGTAAATAAGCAGACCAGAGTTATGTTATACTAATAATTAATCTATAGAGTTTGCGAAAACCCAAACGGAAAGCTGTTTGTGACTTTAGTTACAAGTCAGCACACCAGAGGGAGACAAGTTATGATATAGCTATGTTAAATTTTGCGAAGTAACTTTGATAGCAGAAAAGTAAATAGTCGTTGTGAGTTTTTACGGATCAGCAGGGAAGAATTCTCGTGAGAGCAAATCTAAAATATCTATGCATACCAATCCTCGGCAACAGCTCGTTAATTTGCGTGCGCGACCCAATCCCATATTGTATTACATCATAGCCTCTTGCAATTATGGATGTTTGACGAACGATAATACACATAACTCTGGTTATATCGACATTTTTGAGACACTAGTAAAAATTTTCAAAATGTCGATACAGTGAGTTATACCGACATTTTATATTAAAATTTTGAAAAAAAATGTCAGTATAGAAAGATTTTTCTATGATGTCGTTATATCCAGATGTCGGTATAACCAGAGTGACATGTAATTATTATAATCAAGAAATAGAGAATTTAAAGTAGTATTCTTACATAACGATAATGCAAAGATCTAGCCTAATATTAACAATACAGTTAAAGAATTTTTATTTTTATTTTCCAAATTCTATAATAACCTAAAATAAGTAAATTTTTATTAAACATTCATAAAATATTTAAATGATACTTAAAATAGTTATTCTGAATCACTTATTGCATAATATCAATTTACGTCTAAAAAAAAACTTTTATATGTGGCTACGAACAAACTACACCGACAGATTTTCACTGATTGACATGGATATTAGGCTAGATTTATAGTCGCATCCTGGTTTATCTTATACCAAAGTTTTGTAAAAAAATTTTTTTCATTAATGCGCAGAAGGTGGTTACGTAGCGAAATTTTGAGTTACGGATGATTTCCATATTACACCTGATCTTGCAATATAATTGGTCAATCCATGTCGATCAGTGAAATTTTCGCTATTATAGTATCGTTATTTCACAACTTTAGGAAAAACCTAATTAAGGTTCTGCAAGTGCCGGGCACGTACCGGTACTATTAAAAATGGTACCTGTGCCTGTCACTATGTTTTATTAATGGCTGTGCAGAACGCTAAATCTAATTTTAGCCGCTAACGCTAAATTTCTGTCAGATGTGACATAAAGTGCCTAAAGCAGGGACATCGACAGAAGATCGATCAATCATTTAGCTAATCCGATGAACAAAAAATACAAAAAATGGTAATCTAAACCTATCTTTGCTATTAGTAAAAAAAAATTGTTGGGAAGACAATTTAATGTAAATCCAATCTCAAATTCCTTATCACCAATAGTAAATAAACAAACTTTGATTTCAAAACTTACATCTTTTTAGCCGATCTCTTTTGGGGTCGTATCACAAACATACTACATAACACTAATACACTTTGTGATATTTCTATATTTACTTATAAAATACTCCGTACGTACTACGTACGTGAATACATACGTATGTGATTTTTTTTGCAGTCAAAATGTCGGATAACGAAAGTTTCGAGAAAATTTATCAAGAATCTGCAGATATGGAATATGCTGATGAATTATACGACCCTGAATGTTACGAAAATGAAATAGAAGATGAAATTGATCAAGAATCTGTAGAATCTGTAGATATGGAACATGTTGATGAATTATATGATCTTGGATGTTGTTATGAAAATGGAATAGGAGTTGAAAAAGATATAAAGAAAGCATTTGAATATTATCAAAAATCTGCAGATATGGGACACGTGGATGGAATATATAATGTTGTACGATGTTATCAATACGGGATAGGTGTCGAAAAAGATTTAAAAGAGGCACTTGAATATTGTCAAAAATTTCAAAAATTTGCAGATATAGGGCATGTAGATGGAATATTTAATCTTGGACGTTGTTATGAAAATGGAATAGGAGTTGAAAAAGATACAAAAAAGGCATTCGAATATTACCAAAAGTCTGCAGATATGGATCATGTTGATGGAACATATATTATCGGACGTTGTTATGAAAATGGAATAGGAATTGAAAAAGATATAAAGAAGGCATTTGAAAGTTATCAAAGGTCCGCGGATTTGGGAAATGTTGATGGAATATATATTATTGGGCGTTATTATGAAAATGGAATAGGTGTCGAAAAAGACACAAGGAAGGCATTTGAATGCTATCAAAAATCTGCAGATATGGGACATGCTGATGGAATATATAATATCGGATGTTGTTATGAAAATGGAGTCGGTGTTGAAAAAGATATAAAGAAGGCATTCAAATATTATCAAGAATCAGCAAATGTAGGACATATTGATGGAATTCATAGTGTTGTACGTTGTTATCAATACGGGATAGGTGTCAAGAAAGATATAAAAGAGGCGTTCGAATATTTTCAAAAGTCTGCAGAAATGGGAAATGCTGATGGAATATATAATCTTGGACATTGTTATGAAAATGGAATAGGAGTTGAAAAAGATATAAAGGAGGCATTTGAATATTATCAGAAATCTGCAGATATGGGTCATGCTGATGGAACATATAATCTAGGACGTTGTTATGAAAACGGAATAAGTGTTAAAAAAGATCCAAAGAAGGCATTCGAATATTATCAAAAATCCGCAGATATAGGACAGGTATATGGAATGTATGATGTTGTACGGTGTTATCAATACGGGATAGGAGTTGAAAAAGATATAAAGATGGCATTCGAATTTTATCAAATATCTGCAGATATGGGAAACGCTCATGGAATATATAATCTTGGACGTTGCTATGACAATGGAATGGGTGTCGAAAAGGATATAAAGAAGGCATTTGAATTTTATCAAAGGTCTGCAAATATGGAACATGCTGATGGAATATATAACCTTGGACGTTGTTATGAAAATGGAATAGGAGTTGAAAAAGATACAAAGAAGGCATTTGAATATTATCAAAAGTCTGCTGATATGGGACATGCTGATGGAATATGTAACCTTGGACGTTGTTATGAAGATGGAATAGGTGTTGAAAAAGATATAAATGAGGCATTTGAGTATTATAAAAAATCTGCCGATATGGGAAGTATTGATGGAATATATAATCTTGGACGGTGTTATGAAAATGGAATAGAAATAATAGAAGTCGAGAAAAATACAAAGAAAGCGTTTGAATATTATCAAAAATCCGCAGATATGGGACATGCTGATGGAACATATATTCTTGGACGTTATTATGAAAATGGAATAGAACTAATAGAAGTTGAGAAAGATACAAAAAAGGCGTTTGAATATTATCAAAAATCCGCAAATATGGGACGTATTGATGCAATATATTATGTTGGACATTGTTATAAAAATGGAATAGGAGTTGAAAAAGATATAAAAAAGGCATTCGAATATTATCAAAAATCTGCAGATATGGGACATACTTACGGGATATACTATGCTGGACATTGTTATGAAAATGGAATGGGAATTGAAAAAGATTTAAAGAAAGCATTTGAATTTTATGAAAAGTCTGCAGTTATGAGACATGTTGGTGGAATATTTAATCTTGGATGTTGTTATGAAAATGGAATAGGAATCGAAAAAGATATTAAGATGGCATTTGAATATTATAAAAATTCTGCAGATATGGGACATGCTGAAGGAATATATAATCTTGGACGTTGTTATGAAAATGGAATGGGAGTTAAAAAAGATATAAAGAAGGCATTCGAATCTTATAAAAAATCCGCAGATATGGGACATCCTGATGGGATATATAACCTTGGACGTTGTTATGAAAATGGAATTAGTGTTAAAACTGATACAAAGAAGACATTCAAATATTATCAAAAATCTGCAAGTATAGGGCATGCTGACGGAATATATAATGTTGGACGTTGTTATGAAAATGGAATAGGAGTCGAAAAAGACATAAAGAAGGCATTTGAATATTTTCAAAGATCTGCAGATATAGGACATGCTGGTGGAATATATAATGTTGGACGTTGCTATGAAAATGGAATAGGAGTTAAAAAAGGCATAAAGAATGCATTCGAATATTATCAAAAATCTGCAGATATAGAACATGCTGATGGAATATATAATGTTGGACGTTGCTATGAACATGGTATAGGAGTTGAAAAAGATATAAGCAGGGTATTGGAATATTATCAAAAATCTGCAGATATGGGACATGCTGATGGTGCATATAATCTTGGACGTTGTTATGAGAATGGAATAAAGGTTAAAACAGATACAAAGAAGGCATTCGAATATTATCAAAAATCCGCAGATATGGGA